AGTGTGAAAAACGAGAGGCCAAATAGAATACAATAAAAATGATGTAAAAAAAAACAACTGTTATATGCGTTATAAAAATAAAGGAGATAAATAGAGGGAGTGTGTGAAAGAGAGAGAGAGTGAGAGAGAGAGGGGGGAGAAAAAGAATAGAATGGGGTAAAAGAACAATGACAAGAGAGAGAAAAAACTGAGAGTGAGAGTGAGAGATGGAGAAAGAAAATGTTTAATTATAAGAAGGAGGAAGGTAGACAGGGTGAGTGGAAGAAAACAGATTGACAGAAAAGAATTTGAGGGACAATTAACGAAAACAGAGCCAAGTTATTTGACGGTTGGTGGTCGGTGTGTGTGTGTGCCTTCAACGTGGGACCCATTAATCGATATCTGAAAGGGCGTGAAAATGCAAAACTAAATAAAATATGGCTAAATGAAAATGCCTGCAAAACGATTACGTCGTCCATCAGTTAATGACAAAAACACATTTTTTCTTTCTTTCTCTTTCTCTCATTTCTTGGGAGGCTTCAAGCTCTGCTGGGACTTCTCACACAGATAGGCGGATTGCAATTGGATGAATTGGACTTCTTTCCCACAGCGAAAACAAAGACATAGAAATATTAAAAAAATGTAAAAAATATTCAAGGCGAAATAGGCTTGGGTTTTTCAACTCACAAACCTGTTCCAAACAGAAAAACTGTTTTTCATACTCTTAATTGTTTAACAATAATAATAATAATAATAATAATAATAATAAAATGATTTTAATAATAATAATAAAATGGTTTTGATAATAATAAAAAAATGATTTTAATAATAATAAAAATAAAATGATTTTAATAATAATAATAAAATGATTGCAATAATAATAATAATAATAAAATGATTTTAATAATAATAATAATAATGGTAACGATAAGAGTAACAGTAACAATAATAATAACAATAATAATGATGATGGCGATAACTATAAGAATAATAGTAATAATAATAAAATGATTTTAATAATAATAATAATAATAGTAATGATAATGATGAATATGATGTTGATAACAATAAGAAAAATAGTAATAATAATAATAACAGTAATAACAATAATAGTAATTATATTAATAAAAATGAATAATAATAATAATAATAGGAATAATGATGAAAAAAATAATAAAGTAAAAAAGTAATAAAAATAAGAATATTAGAAATATTAAGTATAATAATAGTAATAAAATTAATGATGAATAAATAAATAAATAAATAAATAATAATAATAATAATAAAGAAATTCCTTCTTTTCACTATGTTTTTTCTAGTGTGTTAATTCCACAATTATTATTATTTGGTTGATTTTGTTCAGCTGCTTTATTAACTTCTATGATTTATTTAATGCCAAAATCTAAATATTTGGAACACAATTTTATGGCTTCAACTGAATTTATTTTGAATGTAATTGTATGCCTTCAACTAGAGAAATGAATTGATGATCCATTTATTATAAAATGCATTACTATGCCTTTCGCTTTAAAATTGCATTGTTGGTAATTTTACTACACAGATGTATTGTTGATAGGTTTTTTTTTATATAAAAATGTATTGCTGTTATTTTTATATAAATATGTATTTTTTACTTTTTGTTTGCATGTTCAATATTTCCGCATAGCTGGGACCCTAACAGGTGCTACCACACCGGGTCAGGGTGGACCTGGGAAGAACAGTAATAAAGAGGTGGTTACATGCTCCTTAAATCCTCCATTATCCCGATCATCCTGCTGGATGTAGTTTATCGTCATACTCAGGACTATACAACAAGGATTAATAATTATTAAAAAAAAAACAATAACAACAAGAGTAACAGCAATAATAATAATAATAATAATAATAATAAATATGTTAGGCCGAACTGCATATAAAGTTCGCCATGATAGAGTGGGCCAATATATGCACTGGAAACTTTTACGGGAAGGAAACTGAAAGAAACTGGTATGAACACCACCCAGACCGGGTTACAGAGATAGAACCTGTATTAAATTTTATGGGACTTTACAATACATTCAGACAAAACAATTAAAGCTAATCGTCTCCACCTGTGCTTGTCAAATTCTCTACCTTGGGGCATAGAGGATCTCCAGAGGAGGCTATGGCGAAGGGTAGAGTCTCGTCCCGGGAAACAGCTACTCTACCTCGTTTTATACGGGGTCGACGGGGAATTTTTAGCCAATCCTACAGGCTTGGATAACCCACATTAAATTCAGCTTTGTGCCACATCTAACAGCGTGAGGCGGTTGGTAGATATCCTGCAGTTGGGGATTCATTGTGGAATTCACGCGGCTCACTTCTAGCAGTTGACTACTTCTACGCGCCGCTGTCGAATCTTATATGCGTTGTTCTTGTCCTAAGTATTATCATTCATTACCAACCTTCGTTTGATTATATCAGTAACCTTGCCTAGGTTAAAATAATAATAATAATAATTCAGAAATAATTCGACTTCATATTTAAGAACTAATTAATTCTTATATATATATATATATATATATATATATATATATATATATATATATATATATATATATATATATATAGCATTTAATTTTTGAAAAAGGGCTCAATTCAGAGTAGAGGTTAATATTATTTATTATATGAGATTAAAAGAAATGACATGTTAAAATATATATATAACCTAAGGATGCAGATTTTTGGTGATGCGACATGAAAACTATTGTGTAGCGATTTTAATCTCATATAATAAATAATATTAAGCTCTACTTTGAATTGAGCCCTTTTTCAAAAATTAAATGCTATAGACAGTTATACTACAATAGTTCTTATCGATAACCTCCTCTCTCTCTCTCTCTCTCTCTCTCTATATATATATATATATATATATATATATATATATATATATATATGTGCGTGTGTGTGTCTGTGATTTTATGTATCTAACATATTTAGTTGCATTGATGTGAGCTTGTGACAGGGGTTTTACGCCCAGGGTCACAAAATCAAACTCACAAACTCACATCAACGCAACTATATATATATATATATATATATATATATATATATATATATATATATATATATATATATATATATATATATATATATATATATATATATATATATATATATATATATATATATGTGTGTGTGTGTGTGTGTGTGTGTGTGTGTGTGTGTGTGTGTGTGTGTGTCCAGAGGGATGCAAGTTCGAAGTTGTCAGGAGAGCTTAAAATTTGTTTAATAAGCTTTCACTAATATTCAGGCCTGGAGACGAAAATAAATAATGATACTGTTTAATAAATATACGAAGCGTCTAACTACTAAAAATAAAGTTTATGTGATAATATATATATATATATATATATATATAGTGAGAGAGAGAGATAGAGAGATAGATAGATAGATAGATAGATAGATAGATAGATAGATAGATAGATACATACATACATACATACATATAGATATATATATCTATGTATGTATGTCCATGTATATGTGTGGGTGTGTGTAAATGGAAAACATGACTTAAGCAAAACTGTCCACTTGCTGTCCTTAGTTTGTTTGACGCCGCACTCCATCACTGACTTGTGCTGTCAATTGTGACAAATAGAAATTATTGTAGCAGCCCTCGTAACTCAAAAGCCCTGATCAGGTTTATTCTCTTTGATAGCCACTAACTTCCGGCGACTCCTGCTTGATACACAATGGTTAAAATTATAGACGTACTTCACGTCTCCATAAAGGTAATTTTCCTTGGTCGCTGCCTGATTTCAGTGCTTAAAAAGAGGCTTTTATGTTCTAAATTCAGTTCCTCGCAAAACTGTTCAAACAAAGGAGTGTTAAGTGCGTGTGTTTTGGTGAGATTTATAACCGCAACTAAGACAATCAATAAACTCTAAAGATCAGGTGATAGTTTTCTACTCGTCAGCATTTCCCTGTATATGACACCAGTTACTGACTGGTATTGAGAAATAACCTCTGATTCGAATACGTCATATAGAGAGAGAAATGAGCAAAGGTACGTCATCTCCGCATATTTATGTAATCTTTACAGAGAGACAATCCTGAGAGAACAAGAAATCCTGCTGGGATTTATTCCTGCGTGGGTACACACTTAACAACATAAGATATGCAGAAAACACTGCGTTAATCGAAATAGTTAATTTCTAGACAAGATAGCGAAAGTAAAACTAGAAAGGAACGACGAAGAATCCATTGTTAGAAGACAGAATATACGATCTTCAGAAAAAAAGGGTTGTCCAAGATGAGGCTAAGAACTGTAGATGCCATATTTCGGTAAGTATAGAAATTGAACTATCGGGAAAGTCCTATAACAGATGGCAGAAATAGTGACACAGAATTCTGAAGGCATATTGGGATAGGGAAAGATGTCTTTCAAAAGGTAAGCAAAGTATTACGAAACAGGTAAATTTCGTTAGAAACAAAGAAACAATTGCGCACCTGCTATAGAATATGAATCATGGCAGTTAATTTTGGAAAATTTTCTCACATGTTCTAGACATGACTATTTTCTAGATAGTCTAGAAAATAGACATGTTATGCTTTCTTGACTGTCTAGAAAAGTAGACAAACTTTCTAGACATTTTAGAAAAATAGGCATGTTCTTCTTTCTAGACGTTGTAGAAACTATGGATGGTCTATTTTCTAGACATTTTCGAAAATGTTCTACTTTCTGGCTATTTTCAAAGAAAACAGACATGTTCTTCTTTATAGACATTCTAGAAAAAATACGTACATTTTACTTTCTAGATTTTCTAGAAAATAGACATGTTCTACTTTCTAGACGTTCTAGATAAATACGTACATTCTACTTTCTAGATGTTCTAGAAAATAGACATGTTCTACTTTCTAGATAATCTAGAAAATAAACATGTTCTACTTACAAGACATTTCTAGAAAATGAACATGTTCTACATTTTCTGGAATGGTTTATGCAGAAATTGAAACTCGGCTCAATTTACAATTCCATTACACCACCCGCACATCCAAGGTTACGGCACCTGGTATTCCCAAGCGGTCACATCTAGGTTCTGACCAGGCTCGACGTTGCTTAACTTCAGTGATCATACGGGAATCGGTGACTGTAAGACAGCAAAGATGAGGACAATAATCCAAGTATAAATAATGTAAATTATAATGGTTTACCTATCTAAAAACCAAGTAAATTATTTTAAACTGAAATATAACTGAATGATATTTACGTATCCTCTAACAATGTGTGTTTGTAGGCTTAAATTTAAATTAAATTTAAACGATCATTAATTACATATCTTCGAACTAAGTAAATGCTTATCGATCAAAATTCATCTCTTCCCGAAACTAGGTAAATGCTTAAAATGTATACGAACCTTGACTTAAATATCTCTGCTGATTCTGACGCTGTTTCGTCGTAAAATCCTCCAATCAAAATCCAAACCTATTTATGAATATTGTAAACCAATGGGCAATATATAAGCACAGGAAAAACAATGTCTCTTATATAGCTTTCTTTTTCTAGGCTAAGGATTTAATGTGTACAGGATGCCCTCGAAAGCGACGATGAAATTTGGTATTGACTTTGTTTGAAATCTTCTAAATGGCTTTATCTTTAAATCACTGACCTTCACATCTTTAAAAGCATTGTTTTAGTTCTTTAGATAAGTGATTTTCCTTGTCTATGTAAGACAAACTAATCAGTCTGCTTGTATACTTAAGATATACGCGTAACATTCTAGACTTCCCCAGTTATATGAATTCATTTTTTTTTCAATTCGCCCCCCACAAGCAATCAATTCACCCCAAGCAAGGCGACAATGCCACTAATACTCAAATGATTACTTGAAATAAAAGAGAGTGAAAAAAAACTTTAGAATGAACCGGTAGCCTAGTCATTAACAGAGAACAAGGGATAAACCTTTACTTCTTTTCCAAACATCGGGGAGGAGTGTGAATCGGACGTTAGGTGAACAAATCTACTATAAAATCTTAACTTACTACCCAGGGATGTAAAATGATTATATCATAATTAGTATCTAAGTAAAGCTTTCTTTTTGTATTTCTGAGATGGTAATTCTTCATTGTTTATATTCAGACGAATATCCTTATTGTTGTTGTTGTTGTTATCACAACGTTTCGCTGTTTAAGTTCTTATCGAGTCGAATAACCATTATTTAAAGCCAGTAAATATTTTAGATTGTAAGAATCTTTTTGGAGATAATAACGGCTTAGAATAAAGGATTAATCATACAATTTTACTAATTAACCCATAGCTGGGGGAGAAGAGGTGGATTCGTACATTTACCAAGGGTGTTCGTGAGTAAGTGATTATGACGAACTCAACTGGAATTGGAAATCGGCTCTCTGATTAATAATTCTTTTGTGATGTCAACGAATATTCGTTGTCACTTTCGTAATGCTCTTTGTAGTAGAAGCTTTGTAATCGTAGATACAATTATAGTAACGCCGTTGAACAATACTGGTGTCAGACGCCTTCGAATAGAACTCGCATTAATATTACTTGCTCGATAATACTCGCTCGACTAGCAATCACCGAATAGTAATCCGTATAGTGAACGGTATAACGAAATAGTATAGAGAATAGCGATCCGTAAAGTAATAGAGGATAGAATAGAAGTGGTGATTCGTATACTAATAGAGGATTGAGTAGAAAAAGTGAGATATTCACTAACCTCCCCATGCGGTCAGACGTGGCACAAGACCGAATTTATTGTGGGGTATCCGAACCCGTAAGCTCGGCCAAAAATTCCCCGTAGACCCCGAAAAAATTGGAGTCGAGTATCTGGCTCCCGAGACTGGACTCTTCCCTTTGACATAGCCTCGTCTGGAGATCGTCTCTGCGCGGTAGCAGAGAGTTTGAAACGCGCAACTCGAGTCGGAAGAGTGATCGTTTAGACGCCACACTAATCCCCATGTATATATTTCCTTTTAGATCACGTGATCTACTTATTCAAAATGGGACCAGCCTTGTTTGTTCTCTGGTGATCTCTGTTCAAACTCCAGTATCGGTAGCGACGCTTCATCCCTATATAACAAATTCCCTGGTATTCACAAGCAATCTTCCATATGGTTACTGACCAGGCTCGACGCCTGCTTAACCTCATTATCGTACCGGAACCTGTGTTTCAACGTCACGTAAGCCTCCACAGATCAGTCACGTTTATCTCTCATGAGGCACCTTGGACCCTCACGTTTGGGCGGCAGGTCGAATTCCCTCCACGTCATGCGAACCATTATCAATATACGGTCACTAGACTTCAGAATCAAATATTCGGAGATCTTGTAATATTTTGAGGGCACATGGAGTACCAGCGTTCGGCTCTTTCTGCTCTGAGTTTGTAACTAAGTTCAACCACTCCAGTAGTATACCTTGCTATAAATACAGCCCTGACATTAACAGTAATTATAAGATTACAAGTAATGAACTCGGACTTCAGCAGAAATCCTAACCTTTTAATGTATGTCTCTGTAAACAGTTCTCTCATCTATCTGGTGAGGATATCATCCAACTACCAAGGAATTCCTATCTAGTTTCATTTGAGTCACTAATACTTTCTCCTATTGGCAAGTCACTCTCTGCACAAGGTACTCTTTTTCTTTGACTTCATTTGCAGTACCTGGCATTTTGATATATAAAACTATATATCAATTATTATTATTATTTTGGTATTTTCCAGGTGACTAGAAAATCGTTAGTCAGTTATCCAATATTGTTACGCTTTCAGAGAATGCTTTCTCCAAGCGACGATGAGCATGTTTTCATGAGGTCGGGTATAGGCAAAACAGAGAAAAAGGAGGAAAGGAAAGGGTTATGTAGGAAGTTAGAGGGTGATCGAGGTAGAGAGCGAAAGAGTGTGTAAAAGATTGAGAAAGAACAAAAGTGTGGAATTAAAAGAAAGAAAGAAAGAAAGAAAGAAAGAGAGAGTGAGAGAAGAGTGAATGAACGCTAAACGAATATAATTTTCTTTCTTTTTTCTTTTTCTTTTATATACTATCGCCGAGAGGATTAAGCTTTTCTTTGGAATCGTGTAAGGCAGTCATTTTGAACAAGAGACTTGCGTGACTGAATTCCATGGCGCCGATCGGCAGGCAATATTGGAGAACAGACGCCAGATGAGAACTGACATTTCTTGCTGAGTGGCAGACGTTAAAGGCGACGTGGCCGATGGCGAAGATGATAATAATCGTCAAGCGGAAGTTGCTATTATGAGACTTCTAATTTACATGTGGATTTTGCTGAAGCACAAAAGGCGTCAAAAATATGTATTGTCCCAATACATTTTCCTTCATAACATCTTAGGCGATCATGGCTCTCGACGGAGTCTTTTTTATTTATTATCCGTGAATCGCTTTGGATTATTGGAAAAGAAAGTGGAGTAGTTTCCCGTTGCCTTATCCCCGGTTTTGACTTGTTATATTTAACCCATAGCTGTGGGGAGAAGAGATGGATGTATATCTTTCTCAAAGGGAAAGGTAGGAATTCACATTTTCTCCCCCAGTTATGGGTTAATTAGTACAACTTGTATTACTAAATCAGTATTATATCTAAAAAATTATTCTTACGCTCTAAAAATATTTTCTGGCTTTAAATAACCTGCAAAATTTGACAGTAGACGATAGAAAACGAATCAATCAATAACTCTTTGCATCAATAAAAAAAGCTATACTATCAGCTTATCCGTTAGATAACCGGTGCCAATTACGCTGTTGTTGGAATAAGAAAAGATATTTTGCTTTCTTAATTTTGTTGATTCTAGCGTTTCTGAAATTACTTTAACGGTTATAGGTTATCATTTGCATATTCAGTGCTTCTGGTTTTCTATTAATTGTAGAACGTTTCTTGTAATTATCTATAGGGACGGAACAAATGTTCTCGGCGTTTTTAAGTGAATATTAAAGACAATATTTACATATTTGTACATAGATATTTTCCCTCAACCTTTCGATATATGTGAGGCAGTTTAAAATGATTCCATCCTAGAAAGAACTTGAAATCTTTCTGGGAGATGAACTGCTGTAAGAATTTTTTACAGGCTTCCATAGAATTTAAGAGACTATTGTAGGGATCGGAATAAGTGTTAATCCGAAAGTGCAAGGTCAGTTGAGTACGGTGACTGTAGTAGGACAACCGAGCCAAACTGGACCAAATTCGGTCGACTTTGCAAAGAGCTGTGATGTTTGGCTTTGTCAGGGAGAAAACGACGCCGTTCCGTTTGTCCAATTTAGACCTTTTTCATCAATTGCTTGTCTTTAATTGGTATAATCAGGAACAGTAATTATCATAATTCAACGTTTGAATTTGCGGGAGAAACTCGTAATGTTCAATGCCCTTTCAAATCTACAGGATACACAGACCGGCTTCTGGAGTGATTAAATTATGTAAATTACGTTTTACCTAGGACATTTATCGCTACAAATTGTTGTAAACAATCCACTTTTCAACGCCAGAGATTATTCTTTTCCTAAATGGCTCATTTTTGTTGCGTTTTAGTAGACAATCCCAAATGGAAATGCCGTTCATTGGATATTTCCAGGTAAATCATGAGGCATCCAAAGATAGTGATTCACGTATAAAAAAACAAAAAAAACTCTTCAAATGCCTTGAAAGGCTCGTATGAAATACGTGGAATATCTTTGCGATGTCCCATGCTGTGAGGCTTCTTATTTTTAGCCAGCTTCCTCGGTGTGTCAGATCAAAATTGCCACTTCTGAACCAATAGATCAATTTCCAAACTTACAGCTTTGAGACCGTCTCTATGAACGGTACAGATCATATTTGCTATTTGTACAATGATTTCCCTTTCCAAAAATAAAAGAGCATGAAATGAAAAAAAAAATTACATTTAATTTTTCTTTGATTCTTGAACTTGAAAGACGACACCTCCCCGATTGACCAACTGTGGACGCGTTTTATCGATTGCTATCTTTATTTGATCCAAATGGACACAGAACTTGTGTGGATTCAAAATCTGATTGTGCGAAAGGGGATCGCTCAATATTACACCCCTCAGATAAGCTACATCGCTTTCTCCGGGTGCCTCTCATTTTTCTCTATTATCACTTTTAACATAAAAAAAAACGTTTAA